CCTGCTTGATTCACGTCTGTATTTGGCCTACAAAAACCTGCCAGGCTAACGTCTACATCAGTCAACCCGTTCCTCCGCAACTGCTTTATTATGATAAGTGCTAACGCCGGAGTTTTGTGCTCCGAAAGTTATCACAATAATCTCGAAATAGGGGCGCCCTGATCCCAGACGGGACACCCAGTCACAGATCAAGCTTTCCGGAAGAGTGTGTTCTTCCGCGCGCCTCAAGTGGACATTCTCAAAGGCAGTAGGCTCGATAGGTGAGGGCAGGCGGTGGCTGCCAACGTCATTGGTGGAAGGGCTGCGAGACAGTGTTTGGCCATACCCACCCCAGGCAAATTTCCAACAGCTTTGGAAGGCAGATTCCCCAACAATCGGATGGGAGGAGACCCACAGTCATTAGATCTCCCTTATTAGCGAACCCTTTGTGCTAATATAGCAAAGATAGTAAAGATGAAGGTGAGCCAACTAGAAAAGCGCAGTGCTGCTGAGCATCTGTTTATGGTATCTGTAATGCTCAAACTTACCGTTCCAGACTATCAGAATGAAGTATTCAAAACTAAAACTGAAAATGATTTATTGTCCTTGTTATAATCTACAATTCTTCACTAGGTACGACAGATTGCTCTAGTTAATGATGACCATGATCTTCACCATGCCCGTGTTTCTCGCGGTACTTATAATGGAGCCTCTTTTCTTCCGGAACCGCAAATTCATACAAAACCACGCCTGCCTGAAAAATAAAAAAAAATACACAGTAGTTCTGAAGACCGCGTTCACCGTTTTTATAACGAGCTCCTGCTCTACTGCTCAAACTCTGGCCATCGGGAATACGTACTCGTTGCTACTCGCCCGGTGAAAGCTGTTAATGTCCAACGTTAGGCTACGTTCGCACTCGATTTCGGGTGAATCAGTGAAGGATATTTCCACCCACAAATAGGAACTGCACCGGATTCTCTCCGTCTGATGACGTGCGACTGCTTGCGGAACCCATGCACGAAATTTTTCAGCATTCATACTCAAGTGACACTAACCCCAATGACAGTGTGGGAGCTTTCCATGACCTCACCGACTTCCTCCCCCCCCCCACCTTCCGTAGCCCTTCTGTTTGTTCGGCTAAAGCCCTTGCAAAGAAACTGGTTCCGGAGCTCTCAGAAAAACTGAAAATTTATGCGAAGCGATGTGCGAAGAAGTCATTGACTAAGCCGCCTAAACTACATTTGAGCCCTTCTTAGCGGCATCGCTCTTTGGCCGCAAATATTACAAAAGAACCTCTGCAGCTTTAGCTCTGTTTGAGCGCACCAGCAGATGGCCGTCGAAAAGGCCCATTTTCATGGTCTTAAAACTCTACTTAGCCACTTTGTACCCACTATGAATGAACAAGTCAGGAAGATAAACATATGGAGAAAACGGTTCTCCATCAAACGAGTAGAACGCTCCAGAAGCACAGATAAACTCATAGGCATAGGTAAACCTATGCAAACCGCGATCGTCCTATGCGGATGGCGACCACCCCGGTTTTGCCAAAGGGGTCTTCCAAATGCCCCGTAATTACCAGCGACCAAAGTTCCACTGGTTATGACCTTTCTCTATGAATGAAGGTACAGCGAAAAACAACAAGGCCGCATTGGAAGGAGCGCGCTTTAGCGCGTACTCGCTTTTTTGCGGGTGAAACTGCCCATCTGTAGAGCTTCAGGGTAACATCTATATCGCCAGACATGTCTATTCCACCAAAAATAACCACTTTTCGGAAAACGATGCAGTCAAACAAAAAGAACACACCTTAATGGTACATAAAAGCGCGGTGAGCCGGAAAATAGCCTTCAAGATCTGTCCATATGGAGTTGACGACCAAAAGTCCGTTCTTGTATTCTAAAGATGGAAATATGTAAAAAGATAACCCACTGTAATGCTACATGAATACGGTCTCTATCTCAATCCTTTTACATACGGTCGCAGTTAAGTGGAAAAAATCTTAAATCACGCAAACAGCGGCCGCAAACTTACTATGGCGTTGTAGATAGAATATGCTTCCTTCTTAGCTTTTCCGAACATAAACGGCTTCGGCATGTTGTTGATGTTGTCCCATTTGCCTTCACTACCAAGTCGATTCACTTCTTTCCATATTGCTCGTGTATCACTTGAAAAGAGTAAGTTAGTAGACTCAATAGCGCATCCAGAACAATCCTTTAACATTGTGCTAGGGAATGGATTCTAGGCTGCGTTCATATTTTGGGGCAGCGTCTACAAGCGACCACCAGCGCCCAGGAGTAGAGAGTATATGAAAGTAGGAGGGTAGCAGACTGCTGGATTAGGGCTAATGCCGTTTGGACTCCAGAAATTTCGGCACCGAGCTCATTTTTAAATTGCCTAAGTCACCAAATCCGCTAAAAACTTGTATATAGGGGTAGTTTAACATCCTGATTACGAATATGACATTCACTCTTGTGGCTAATGGATGACACTACGATTATCTGCGCTCTGCTAAGGCTGAGCCCAGAGGTAATCGTAGTGTCATCCATTAGCGCCAGCGACAAGAGTGAATGTCATATTCGTAATCAGGATGTTAAACTACCCCTATATACAAGTTTTTAGCGGATTTGGTGACTTAGGCAATTTAAAAATGAGCTCGGTGCCGAAATTTCTGGAGTCCAAACGGCATCAGCCCTGGATTAGGCTGCAGTAGTGAAGTTGTGGCGAGTGCAACGGCACCGTACTACTGCACCATATCGCACCTTGACGCTGTGCTGGCGGAGACTGGCGTCCGCTAGATCGATATACCTCCCTAGTGAATCGTATTGCTGTTGGTCGCTGGCGGACGCTGTGGACGTAAGACGCTAACGTTTCCCAAATCGATTTCTATATCTTCCTTCCTGACGAACGCTCTAACGCTAATGGTCGGCGGTGGACGCTCCCGCAGCCTCATCGACACATGGTGCGACTACCTAAGTGTACATGCTCTCCTTGGACTAGGTAATACGGTCTGAAAGCACAGAGAATTTGTCACTTCTGCGGCCCAAAGTACATTATAGGGACGTTAGGTGCTCATGACAAAGGCAATGTCCCGCCCAGTGTCCAAACTAAGGGTGACGTTCATAACTAACGACAAAATGATGCTGCGGCTGTCCCACTACTAGCTCCCTCCGCTCAGAATGTTGAGGGAATACACTTGATATCCTTATGTTAGCAGCAAGTGAGAAAACATCCTCCTCCTTTTTCGTATGCTCGCGAAAGCACGCATTGGCAAGAAAAGGTGCTTATTTTGAGCATTTCACGCAGCTTTTTCTGCTTCTTCTTCTTCACTAACTGGTCAT